TGAACATAGGTTATGTTCCTATACATCCACGTAAGCCACTAGGCACCAGCCTATGCGAATTATTGTGATGATACCAACTGATGGAGTAGAAGCTATGGATGTTCGCAAAGAACAAAGAACAACTTTGAATCCACAAAGTTGAGAAAAAATTGCTGAGAAATCTGATATATTATTGATAACTGAATGGATTGATTCTACTCTCTGTAGTATACATATGTATAGTAAATAAGAAACTTAATCACTATGAAACCTAACAGCTTAAGGAAACTAGTTGCTTGAGGAAACGAGGAATACAAGGGAACTGAAAATTAAACTTTCTCCAAAAATTCTGGAAAAATAAAAAACAATAAAATTATTAGGAAAAAAAAAAAATTATTAGAATATGAAACCTAATAACAAAAACACACTAAATACCAAAATTCAAATCAATTTGAATTTGTTTAGGCCATGAACAAAAGACCCGAAATATTCAATAGGCTTCCTATAAGACATAAAAACCAAATTTCGGAGTCTTAAAGGAATGAATTTTGCCGAAAACCAACATGGTCACTAAGCTAGTGAGTTTTGTTTATTGGGTCGTTTCCAATCGAGAATAGGTCTTTTCGAGTTGAAACGATGTGATTGACCTGAACCCAGAAAAAGTCAAAATATTAGTGGCCTAGCGGTACCAAGCCCCTACTTCTCAAAGAAAGGTCAGAGGTTCAAGTCTCAGTGGAGGCATCTGTGTGTGAGTACCAACTAGGAAAAAATATATATATCAATATAAATCTACATTACCGATGAGATGTTCAAACAATTTGATAAAAAGGGAGAGATATAAATCAAATCTTGTCCTACTACAAGGTCTTGGGGAGGGAGGACTCTAGACACACCAAGATATTTCACAAATTGCTGCTCTGAGGCTCGAACTCGCACTAATGGCCCTAACGTTCAAGCATTAAACTGCTAAACAAGGCAATGGCCCTTGTTCAAACAATTTGATAATCTAACTCAAATAAGCAACATATGTTCTTCGTAAGAACACAGTCATAACACACTTGAGGTGATACAATAACATAGGGTTAATTGTACTAACAACTCCTCAGGTTTGGCCAAATATCACCCTCAAACATCTTTCGAAAATAACTATCACTCACATTACAAACTTTTGTTCTGCTTTTCACTCACACCCCAACCGTTAGTTGAGCAGTTTTGACACGATATAAACGATTTAAATACCCTTTGACTTTGTCAAAACAACTCTTTAGCCTAAACAATTGGATTAAAAGACTAAAATATCTCTAAAATTTTGTAAATATATATATATATATATATATTACACAAACATATATACTCTCTCTCCCCACCACTATACCTCTCTCTCTTCACCACCACCGTTCCTCTCTCTTCACCACCACAACCACCACCATTCCTCTCTCTCCACCACCATAACACCATTCCTCTTTGTCCCCACCACCACCACTGATTCTATAACCTAACCACCAAAATTAAAACAGAGTAATTTTTGCCCAAATTCATCATCTGTCTTCAAGATGTCAACACACACAGAGCCTCGAACCCAAGCCAAATAACCAAATCGAGAATATATATCTTGCCGCAAATGGATACCTGTGTCAACGGTTGGCTTGGTTGAGGAAGATGCCATCAGGGCCGCCGGAGATGCCAATTATGTTTTGTGAAATTAGGTTCAATCAGTGAAAAAAAAAATAGGTTCAATTAAACACAGATGTGCGTGAATGTGTTTTTGATTTGATACCAGATTGTGAATCTGGTTAGGTTAGTTCCGAAATTGAGAGAAGTAAGTGCTCCTATGTTTTACAATTGACATCAATTGATGACAAATAATTGTTGTGGATAAATGGTTATGGTGGGTGGCGGTGGACGGTGATGATACCAATGAAGAGAAGAACTCAGCACCAAATTTGTCTTTTCCAAGGGTCGCGGCCATGGATGGCAACGACCGCTGGTGAAGATCTCTAAACATCAAGATATGCTCGTTGTTTCAGAAAACCATCGGATCATCACTAGAATCCGGCAACCTCCCCCCTGCGAAAGGCGTCAAGACCTCGGACGTCATCGTCGACTCCAACTGCAATCTCTGGTTTGGCGTCTTCATTCCCACCAAACCACTACCGTCTGATGATCTAAGGGAAGAGACAGCCATTTTGATTCTTTGGTGAATACAACCTCTCGTCTTCTCAATGGAGATTGTGAATTGAAGGGTTTGATGGACACATGATGATGATGATGATGGACACATGATGATGATGATGATGATGATGATGATAGGTAATTGTGGGTCTCTGCGTTTAAGGTGATATATCCTCGTGTGTGTGTATATCCCTGTGTGTGTGCGTGTGTGTGTGTGTGAGGTGATTATATATATATACATATTCAAGTTGGGAATTTTTTTTGTAAGGTGATGCATTTTGTGATTAGGATATCTGTGATTATATATATATTCATCAGATTGTGATGGTGATGGTCCTTGTGGAGGTGGGATGACAATGGTGGTTGTGGAGGTAGAGATGAGGGGTATAATGGTCATTTAAGTAATCTAATATTTGATGGTAAATGAGATTAAAGAATTAGGGGCAAAATTGTCTTTTTACATATTTTTAACGGAGACTATGACCGAAAAGTAAAAATGGACCCAAGTGATAATTATTTTCGAAAGATGTTTGAGGGTGATATTTGGCTAAACCTGAGGGGATGTCAGTGAAATTAACCCATAAAGATACCCTTTCGAAAAGCAAAACCCAACTATAAGTTCCACACATTTCACCCTTGATATCAGCTTACTCTACACATCCACAACAATAACCAACACAAACAAAATGAGTCAACTATGCTTTAAACCCCTCCAGGTTTTTTAACTAGCCTTCTACCAAACTACCTCTTTCGCTACTTAATTAACCATGTTCCCACTTAACTCTTTTCCAAGAATGGCGTCTTAAGACAAGTATAGAATTTCACCAGTCTCACTATCTATTCAAAAATGAAAATTTGGTTCTCAATATGATTCCAAATTCCACCCTCAATGATTTGTAACCTTAATATTACATCTCCCATCAACAACCCCATGAAATAACTTTGGTCCATCTTTTTTTAATCTAGTTAAACTTTGACTTTTGCCTACACATTACTTCTTCCATGGAAAGGATTCATCGGGGCCATCTTATACAATTCCCCTTCTATCCTAAAGTTTACTACCTCTAACCTCTTCAACAAGATAATATTCTCCATTCATTTCATATTCTTCATTCTCGACCCTCAAACTAATACCAATACCAACCAAACTTGTTTATTCCATCGTGCTCCTTCCACCAACCATTAGCCTATGCGTAAAGGAAATAGTGAGAAAACCACATATTTTCAAAACTTAACGGCATCTGACTGTATCTCACTCAATTGGATTGATACCATAACAATTATCCGAAAGTAAGCCAACTTATCTTCTTCAAAATCGGCCAAATTTGGGCCCACTTATCTACCAAACTTCAGGCATTTCTTTGGAGTCCAACCATGAAGCATAGACACGAAAATGACACGACGACACCAGAAAGGATTTTTTTTTTCTTTTACAAGTAAAATGTATTTGAAAGCGATCAAAAGACATAGTTGTATGATGTATTATAATAATGACTAGCAAATCATAATAATCGCCAAAATAATACCAAATTTGACATATCTCTCTAATCTTTTCCTCACAACACCCTGCGTCTAGGGGATATACACTGGGAAATACCAATACAATATGAATTACATTGATCAATGATCTCCCATGTTACATTAGAAAGATATAGATAGGACAAAACAAATATACATGTGGGTATGGATGTGGAGCTGTATAAGTACATATATTATAATAGATCTTCTCTTCTCATATAGTCATGTGCTCACTTCTAACATGGTTCAACTTTGTTACTTCAATTTATTTTTCCTTGCAACTGTTCAGGCTAAAAGAAAGTTACATCCAAAGTTAAGGTCCATCTATCACAACAGATTGAAAAGCATCCAAGAAGTTTCATCCATGTGTTTAAATTAAGAATTTTATTCTGAATTATAGACACTTCCAAGACGTGTCAGACACGACACGTGTCTAAGAAGTGTCGAATCGTGTCTTAAGTGTCCATGTTTCTTTAGAGTCCATCAAAGGCACCTTAAAAAGGTTTGAAAGTAAAAATAAAAAATAAAATAAAAGTGACCCATCCAACATGATGTGTTCGATTTATCATAAGATTTCCAAGTCCAAAGTAATATTTTCATACATTTGGAAGATATCATAACTTTATAGGTCCTTAAGAGTTGGATTTTCTTGGGTCCTTCAAAAGTAGAATCCTTTATACAAAAGAAAGAGATCGAAGTCCAGAAGATTATACTATAACGCCTCTATGTCTATTTCAGTTTTCCTTATTCTCCTCGTATTCATGTAGGTGATCGGCCCCTTACCAAAAAAGGTCATTGCAAGAGAAAAACATCTGATATTATAAACACGCATTCAGAGGTAATATTACAAAGAAAAACAACCCAGCATTCTCAAAGATGGCATGGCCCATTTGGTTACCAATCACTTCAAATTGAAGAGCCATCAATATGCATTCCACTTACAACTGTGTTCTGCCACATGGTTCTGGTTGGGATTTCAAGCTAAAATTCTGCTTGTAAAGCATTTTACTTCTAAGTATGAATAAACTTGCAAGTCCATGTACTATATCATAACAATAGTAAACACAAAATAAAAGATAGGAATAGCCCAATAAACCAGAATCAAGACTAAAACCCCGTAAGAGAATCAAACTTCTTACAACAATACTTCTCTGAACAACGGCAATATCTCCATGCATATACATAAATATACAAATGAAGCACCTAGACGGCCACAAGTAATGTAATCCTAATACGACGGTAGTATGTGTTGATATATTTGTATACCCCAATACATAGAGAGACATGTAGATAAGTACAGGTTCTGAAGCAAGGAGTGTGAGAAAGAGTACCTGAAATTTTCAGCGGTTTTGGGGGCAATATCGGCGAAGAGCTCCATCTTGATTCGACCAGCGGGGATAGAACCGATGGTGATGTCAAAGAAGACGATCGGATTCTTAGGGTTTGGAGGTCTCTGGTGCCACTCCACTGCTCCATTCCATCCACCAGAAGCCATGACACACGGAACACACCCACACAGAGAGATTCTCAGCGCTCTCTCTCTCCTAAATTTCGATGGAGTCTGGTGCTTTCCAGAGTACACTTCTTGCAATTTATGGTTCGCAGAGGCAGAGATCTTCGCCGCCGACGCCGACTATCAATTATTGCGATTGTGAAGTTCCCTCTTTTCTTTTTTTCTTTTTTCTTTGTTTTTTTTTTTCTAGCAAAAATTAGGAAAATAGTAGCCAAATTTAAAACTTAATTGATTTCTGTTTAATTACACTCACACTCCTTTAAAATTTACCCTATCAATGGTCAGAAAAATTTAATCTATTTTTTATCAAATTTATAAAGACCCCCACGAATCTTCCATAGTTATGTTTTTTTTTTTTTTTTTTTTGGCAATTCTTCCATATAAGAATTTCACTATAATTACAATCAGGATGGTTATTCTTCCATAGTTGTCAGGATGGTTATTCTTCCATAGTTGATGTTTCTCCATGGCAGGCTATGGATTGGGCTGAAGATATGAAATTGGCTTGTTTTACTTACTGGGCCGAAAGCCCAAATTTTTCCCTGCATTGGGCCTACTTCATTAGGCTTTCAAGGTCGGGTGGCCCAAGGAAATTATAGTTTAAGTCTTTTAGTGACGTGGTTTATTTTAATTGGACCAAACTAAAATAGTCATCAGCCACATCTGATACATAGTGAATTGGCGTAATTGCCCTTTGACCTTTGAAACCATATTATTAGACCAAACTAACCCTCACCATCGTATCCTCTTTGCCAAACAACTGCCCACTTTCCCTGTATCTCCACCAGCAGTCAGCACCACCATCACAGATATTCACCACAAAATAAATATTTATACATATCTATATATATTATATGTACACATCATTCATATACATATATAGATACAAAAAAAAAATTGTGCGCGCTCAAAACCACCGGCAACCTCCACCACCGCCCGACATCGCCGCCTCCACCACCGCCTACCCCTTCTATAATCTTCATGTTTTAGTACTCCTCTAGTCTTAATGTCAAAAAAAGAAGAAAACTTAATTTAAATTCCATTTAAAATTTGAACTAAATAATCTTTAATTCCAATTCTAAGCACAGTATGAGTGAGCAAAGAAAAGTTGTAGTCTTGTAGATCATTCAGATGGAGGAAAGAAATGTCCGCTAACGCCATAGAAGCCAGTGTTCTGGCGAGAATGTCATGTCCGCCAATGCTGAGGAAGCGAAAACCTTCCTCAAAGTGTCATTACAGTGGTGTAAGGGAGTTCTTTACTCCACTAGAGAAACTGTATTCATCATACGGCACAGAATGAGTGAAATGCCTTAAATAATTTTTTTCTAATTAGGTCTATCATGAGGCAAAATTTCCAAGTCGATCGCCGCCAAACTGGTGGACGAAGGAGCTATCGATCGTGGACATAGTGTTCTTCAAGAAGATTGTTGATATGATGAAGGCTCGTGGCGCGAAATCACTAACCTTAGCGAGGGCAATATTCACATACGCTGAGAGATCACTTCATGAACTCACGCAAGACCACCCCGGGAGTGGCACGAAGACGTTACATCCAGGCGACTCCGACGACAGAATCCGGCAGCGAGAGCTACTCTAATTGGTTGTCGCTCTCTTGCCTTCTGAAAGGGCCGTTTTTCTGTTCCATTTCCTCTATTGTCTTCTACGATCTACTATAATTCTGAGATCTTCCAACGCTTGTAAGAACGAGCTCGAGAAGAGTATATCGGCAATAATGGAGGACGTGACCGTCGACGATCGGTGTCATTCGCGTACGACAGCGAGAAGTTGTTCGCTCTGGAAAGAGGATCATATCAGGGTCGACTGCCGAATCTACGATCAACTAGTTAAGTTTTAAAGAATCCCCTTCGGGGATTGCAGCCATTAATTCACAGTATCCTGGTGGTGGGTTCCTATCATCTTTGGTGGCTATGAAATCTGGTGATACATCTAATTTAGCTCTGTTACAAGGAGCATAGAAATCAGGTTTCGTAGAGAAAAAGGGAGGAGGTGGCGGCCGCGATTGTGAGCCTTTCAAGGTGGCGGTGGGCGGTGGAGAAAAGATGGAAATTGGTTGTACCGTGGTAAGGGTGGTGGCCAGAGGAAATGGAGAGGAAAGAGGGGAAGAACTGTGAATATATGTGTCTCACGGGTGTTTTGGTCTTTTAATGTACATGATATTTTACAAAGTAAAATAAATTAAATAATGAATAGCAATCTTGTGTTTTCTCACCGTTTAAGAGCCTGTTTGGATCAAATTTCTAACAGGGGGTGTCAATTAAAGGTGCACAAAAGAACCATAAAACCGTGAGAACAGAACCGAACCGAACCGTGGACTTCGGTTCTGGTTCTCACGATTCCAGTTCCGATCCCAGTTCTTAATTTCGGAATCGCGGAGGTACGGTTTCGGTTCCAACCCGTGGGAACCGGTAAGAACCGGAATCGTATGTATGTATGTATGTATGTATGTATATATATATATATATATTTAGTTATTTGTTGTCTTAGTAACTAAACAGTTCTAAACTAAACTACAGCCTTATGAGGCCTACAAGCAGCCATGTGGTCCACAGACTCCACATTAATGACTAAACCACAAAACAAAACTCAAAAAGTGAAAATCTGAAAACTCATCTAAACCTAGAGTCTTATTTCTGCATCTCAAGCTAACCATCGCCTCCGCAGTCCCCTCATCGTCCAATCCCCATCTCAAGCTAACCCTTTCTTCTTCAATCCTAATCCCAATTCTTAATTCACAAGTTGAATCTTCTCTATCCCTAACCAATTCACTATCATTCTCTGGAATTCCCACATGGGTTTCTTCCAAAACCTCCGAGTGGTCGAGATTAGGCTCCGCTGAGGGCGTGACCGGAGCTGTTCCGACAATTCCAGCGCAGAGCTAACCCTCGCCTCTCCAATCACAGAATCTCAAGCTTCCTTAAACCCTCATCAACCTTGGCAGTTGGCGCCTCGCCTCCTCTCATCTTCAGATCTTCTCATCTTCAAATCCTCTATACTCAGTCGATTCAAATTTCATCCTCACTCCTCATCCTCTCTTCTGTAATATGTATCGGGGCTTACACTATTACACACCATCTCAGACTTATCCGATCTGTATTGCAGCTTACACTGTATTCTGTATTTATTTATATTTATATTTTAGTTATTGTATTCTGTTAATGTAATACCCCTAATTTTAAAATGATAGTCTCGGTATTTTTTATTAATTGTTTTAAATGGTGTTCTTGATTCTTTAATTGATTTTCTTGACTATTTGTTAATTGTTTATATGATTTAATTAATTATGTCTTGGGTTTTCTTCTAATAAATAGTTAGGAATTTATATGGTTTAAATGGTTGCTTATTTTATTTTTAATTCATTTTATTTTAGGGTTATGGATAGTAGTCATGGGTCGACCAATTCGGTTCCATAGACTACTTGGATAAGGGGTTAGTGGATACGTATATATATATATAATTAAATAATATATATTTAGGCAAAGTCCTTTGGAGATAATCTAGTGTATTTATTTTATTTAGATAAGAATAATATACATAGATTATACGTAACTTATTTTTTTAGTTACTTTTTAGTTTTTTAATTTTTATTTTTTTTCTTTATTAGTTGGATGTGGTTTGGGAAAAGGAATAGGGTTTATATGTAGCCTATTTATATATTTCTATAGGGTTGGAAAAGGGATTAAAAATATATCACGTATGTTATTTTAGAGAGAGAGAGAAAGAATGAGGAAGGAGGAAGAGGAAGAGGAAGAAGAAGAAAGAGGTTAGGGTTTTATCAAATCCTAAAGGTAAGTTCTCTGTTTTACACTTCTCCTTGAATCTGTAACCTATATGTCTCTAGTGTAATTTTAGCGATGTTTAAAAGATTAATTAAAATTGGAATCCATGTTTTAATTGATCTAGAACTAGGTTTTATACATCTTATTTGTTCATGGTTGTGCTTGTGTAAACTATTAAATTCATGATCTGATTTGATTATTTTGTGAATTTGTTGCATGCTTCATATGATGTTTTGTTTTATCTGCATTTGGATTAAACGTAGAAACATGCCTAGAATTCCTGAAACAAATAAGGATTTAATGCACAGTTGAAATTCTGAGTTGATTCGCGTAACAGTGTTCGGACCGCTGTTACAGTGCTCGAGCCTTGGGGGCAAAGCTCGAGCCTTAGGATGAAAAGCTCGAGCAATTAGTTGTGAAGCTCGAGCAACTAGCTGTAAAGCTCAAGCAATTGGTTATAAAGCTCGAGCATTTGGGATGTAAAGCTCGAGCCTGAGAAGGAATGCTCGAGTAATTAGGATAAAGAGCTCAAGCCTGAAATAGGATGCTCGAGCCTTGGACAGGGTGCTCGAGCAATTGAGATAGAAGCTCGAGCCTTGCCTGGTGAAGTCTTAGAAACAACGTTGTTTTATTTTTAGATTGGTTTTGTGGATTCCTAAACATTAAATAAGGATTAGGAATGATTTAAATAAATTTTAAACAAAGTATGAAGAATGCTTAAGTGATTGTATAGCAAAATATAGCAATCTGTTTAAGATTGAGTATGTGTAGGATATGTGACATAGAAAACTTAAATAAATTATAAGTTGTCCTATTTTGTGTTAGCATGATATAATATTATTATTATGTTTAACTTTGGAATATTGGAGGTACTCCTGAAATTATTACATCAATTGTTGGATTGTGTGGATTAAGTGCACCAGTATGGGATGGTGGCACTCTAGGAATAGATTAACTTATCAGTTAAGTCCTACCTATTATATAAGGGAACAGATTAACTAAAATGTTAAGTTCTACTTATATTTGTGTCAGGTCAATTAAACAAGTTGAATGACTAACTGGATTACTTCGTGTCAAGGCAACTAAAGGTGAAGCGGCACTACTTTGGTTTGGATGGAGTTTAAATATATAGTTATGATACCTCGAGATGAGCTTAAGTCTTAGGATCGATGGTTAGGGAGTGTATATGCATTGGGATGCATAGCTAGCTATGATGGTTGGAGGTGTACCCTGTTAGGTTTAGGTACACATGCCCACTTCGGGTGCGTTTTGCATGTTGCCTCTATTCAGGTTGAGACCGACTTGTAGTCCAGTGAAAATCCTTTTGTGTGGATATATATATATATATATGGATTATATAGTTATTGCATGGGTTAGCTATAGATGTATAGTTTTTCGGTCTCT